CGGAAGTCTGAAGATGAAGAGTTGTGAGAGAATTGGCAAATGGGACCCTGATTACTAGAATAAGCAACTAGTTGTGAGCACATTTTATAAACTTTATAAACTTTGCATTGTTGAAATGCAAATGATTCTGAAAAATTATAGAACCTTAGAAAGTGATCCCATAGTCTCTAGGTTAACCAAATAGGCCAACACAACCCCTTTCCCCCGTGCCCCCCCCCGTTCTCCCCCAGACTAACTTGCCCATCCTTCACTAATCCTTTTCTTGTCCATTTACCATGTGAGCTTGGGCAAGTCTCTGAACCCTAGGCTAGCAAGTTGGACCAGAACATAGAAACTGTCTTCAAACTCTAAATTGATGGTACCTACACTTCCATTCATGTTAGTATCACTCCCATTTTAAGGATTCAGATACTGAGGTTAGAGGAAGTTACGTAACCAAGGTCCAGTAAGTGTTGGAGAAAGGACTTAAATCCTGGTTTTCTGACTAGCAACATTCTCACACCACTATGGCTCCCCACAGTAATGTTAGAAGGCCACAGAAGCCTAGGAGCCAGAAGCAGGGCTTGCTTCTTTTCTACCTTCTATTTTGTCCCTTTCTCTGGACACGTGCACTTCTGTCCCCTTAGAAATTCCTGCTGGGACCCTCTGGAGAATTGGATTTGTGATTTCCAGTTTGCCTAAGGAACTTGTATTCAGAGTTAGGCTTTTTAAATGGTCATAGAACATACATTTTTAGACATGGCCAATGAGGTGATTTGCTTTGCATTGTTCTGAAGATTTCCTTCCTTCCTGCCTTCCTTCCTGCCTTCCTTCCCTCTTTCCTTCCTTCCTTTCTTCCTTCTTTCCAGTTTTTTTTGGTTTTGATTGGGGTGGGTGTATAGAAATGGGAGGGAGATAAAATAAGTACTTGTTAATTGAAAATAATAAATTTTTAAAATAAGTGCTTATTAATTGAAAATAATAATAAATTTCAAAAATGAATACGAGCTCCTTGCAAGGAGAGGTTATTTCATTCTTTGTATTTGTATCCCCAGAACTTAATGTTTATTGATTGGAAAAAAAAATTCACAGAATTCATTGTCACTATCCAGCCAGGGAACTCCCAGATTCAGGGGAAAATTCTTGGCTTGGGTTCTAGTGGAAGAGGAAGGTGAGCTGGGGCAGAAGCAGTTCTGGTTTCCTGGGAAATATCTGGCTGTGGCCTGCCCTTCCCCCTTCTCGCCCTAGCTCCAAATTTTTTTATGCCCACTGAGAACTGCTTGAAACTGAACAGAATAAAGCCAAATTCAGTTCCCACAAGGAGTTATTTCCAGAAATGACTGAGATGTAAAAACAAAATGCATTAATAAAACTTAACTAAAATTTTCAAAGAACTTCTACATAATCTCCTCCTAACTGGGGTAACAGCCCTTAGGGGGTAAGTCTCCTAAGAAGGTAAAAGCCATTTTCCTCCCCCAGAACCTTAGAAATGCCAAAGAGCTTCCTTTTCCAGGCTAAGTTAGGATGCATTGGGCAAGGAGGAGAGGGAGCCATAGGGTTACCATGTATGTTTGAAGGGAATAGGCATTTAAGGAAGCAGTCAGAGTCTCCTGTTGGGGATATGGAGAGGTCAAGGATCCCTGGGTAGTTAGTACTTAGCCTTCCTGTAGGTCGGTACAAAGACGTATTTACAACCTGTCAGCACAATCTGGCCCATCACAGTATTTACAGACAATGGCTACATTCCACCCCCCACCCCACTCCCTTACCCCCACCCCAAACCATCAGCCTTTTGAAGCTCCACATTCCTATTCACACTGGATGAGAAAGTCCTTGGCTAGAATTAATCTCACAGTGACATTCCTCACTCCTGAGGCCTGAGCCTGGCTCTCAGATCCATTCACAGCCTTCCCAGCCCAGAAAGTTTTCTCACCCTCACAGGATCAAAGGACTAGGAAAGGGGAAATCCAATAAGGCTCCTCCCTGGCCCTGCCTGACCTATCTCTTCCAGGGCTGGTAGGCTGGAGGCGGAGGGAGTAGAAGCTGGGACCTTGAATCTCTGAGCTACTTCTATTGGGCCACATCCACCGTCACACGCCACAGATCACAGCTCCAAGCTTTGTCCATCCCTCCCCATCCCTCAGGAACAAAGGGAGCCTGGAGCCAGCTGCCCCTCCCCCTCTGTTGCTCGAGTGCTAGCTGAGCTGGGGCTGACCAGGGTGTACACGGTAATGGTGACCCTGCCCAGCACAGCAGCCTGTCTGGGTCAGGACCATGAGGCAATAACACTTCTCAGGGGGTAGCTATGCCAGCTGGGCTGTGGGAGGGCTTGACTATGGGCCACACTGTAAACAGAGCTTCTAGGAAGGCCTGAGGCCTGGAAATGGGGGGAATGTGCTTTAGACCCTGGATGTATCTTCCACTCCAGCCCTGTCAGTGAGAGGACTCCTGGGGGAGAGCTTTGGAAGGATAAGGATAGGGGTTTGGAGGGCTTGGGCAAGGGGTGGGCACTCTGCAGGGACTCGGGCTGGGAGGAGACCAGGTTCTGACACAAGTTATGGGATTGAGCTTGCTGAAAAATGCTGTGTGAGCACCAAACTTAGGTGAACGGATGCCCAGGGACTGTTGGTTTAGAGCTGGAAGGGGATTGCTAGTTTTAGTCCAACTTGCTCATCTAAGATCCAAAGGTAACACAGCCAAGAAGAGGGTTAGTGGAAGATGGCTAAGGCAGTTCAAGAAGGGTCGTGTTGGCCTTTGGTTAACCTAGTGACCATAAGCTCCCATTCCAAGGCTCTAGTATTCCTCAGGTCTTTTCCTTTTAAGGAAATCAGAGGGGCTCAGGGACTAGCGATAGTGAAGACACTACCCACTGTCTGGCCTGCCTCAAGGCCTCCTCTCTAGCTCCAGAACTCAGGCTAATTATATAATTAAGAATTCATATAGTGTCCACAGGGTTCTACAAGGGCCTGTCCTCTCCTTTGTCCTCTGGCTGCAAGTTTTGGCCCCCTTTATCCCCTGGGCTATTTATTTCCTATGGTGAGCTCCAGTCCCGCGTCCTCCAGGAAGTCTTCATCACCGCCAAATGAGGTTGACCTCTCATGTGTGAGTCCTTTATTTATGGCCCAGAGAAATGCGATCATAATCAGCATCAGGAGCAGAGCACAAACCTTTACTCAGAAAATGTTTGACTGATCGATTAACATTAATCACTGTCAAGATGTTCTTTCTTTTTCTGACGAGAATCTTCTGCTTTAGGATACATTATAGGATCAGAGATTAGGAGCTAGGGACCTTGGAGTTCATTAGTCCAATACCCTTCATTTTACAGATGAAAAAACATGCCCAGAGAGGTTAAGTGAGTTTCAAGGTCATACAGCCCAAATAAGTATCTAACGTAGGATTTGAACCCAGGTCTTCTTGACTCTAAGTCTGACACCCAATCCATTACGCCATGCTGCCTCTTTGCTTTCAGGTCATTTCTCCCAATCTGCTCGTTAAGGAACCAATAGAAATAAGCATTTATTAAGGACCTACTGTGTGCCAGGCACTATGTTAAGCACTTTACAAATATCTCAGTTTCAGGTGCTTTTATGATTCCCATTTTACAATTGAGGAAACTTAAACAAACAGTGGTCAGGTGACTTTGTCCAGCTACTAAGATCTGAACTCAGGTCTTCCTGACTCCAGGTTTAGCCCTCTATCCAGTGGGTCATCGAGCTGCCTCAGAGTTCTGATTTCTGTAGCCAATCCCTTGGGCTAGCATAGGGAGTAACCTGAAATACTCCCATCTTCCCCCATGCCTATGCCTCTTTTCTGGACATCTTTCCACCTCCTGCTTCCTTCACCCTGAGAGGAATCTGGACCAATCCTCTCTAGAGACTGGACATGTCAGAGAAACTCTTGAGTTCTCCCACCTTCCAGGTTCATTCTAACAGAGAAAGTCTTCTCCTCTAGCTTCTATATCCCCTTCAGCTTTTTCCTACCCCCGAGATACTAGAGCTTCTTAGGAATAAAGAAATGGGGAAGTAAATCTGCTCCAAGTCCACCTGCCTTGGACACCCCCATCCCAGCGACCCCATAGTGCACACAGTTCATACCTCCTTATGTATTTCTTTTTTCACATTTTTATGTTCTGTCTCCTACGTTAAACTCTCAGCTATCCAAGACCACCAAAACCCAAGACTCTTTCCTAATTTCTTTAATTTTTTTCCCTCCACAGTATTAAGGATAAGCTTTTCTCCATGCACAAAGAGTGTGGTACCCTGTTTCTGGCCACCCTGAAGCCAATTAATCCATTCCTGGGCATTGAGCTGTTGGTAACCCAAAGCTCACTTTCTGACAAACTCAACCCCAGATCTCTTCCCTGCCCTGGAGTAAACCAAACTTGTCTGCCTTGCAATAGGATATTGGAATTAGCCCACCTTGCCTTGATTTCCCAAAGGCTCTGGGGTTCACCACAGCTAGGCAGTGGTGATTTAGTGGAAAGAGGAAAAGACTTTTTTTTTGTAGAGAATGAGCTCTAGAGGCTGAGAGAACAGGCTAGTGCCTGGCCATCCCCACCCGCTTCATGGGTTAAATAAAACCCTCGGCTGCACCAAATGAAACAAGCTAAAGGGCGGGAAGAGAGCCAATAGGGTCAGCACCTTTCATTTTTCATCAGCACCATAGGGAGAACTAGATGCTTTGTAAGTCCCATGAGTAACATGTGACTCTTCTGGAGTTCCCTTACAGAGATGAAGACACCCTTATAATTTTAAACTCCATTTCCCCCCAAACTGGTGCTGAGCAATTTTCTGCACTGGATTATGGAACCAAGTGAACCAAAATGTTACTTTTCTTGATAAAAGGAACCCTGGGGAAACTGAGGTTCTTTTGGAACAGGAGCAGCTTGGTAGCTCATCCTTGCTATACTGTGGTACCGGTTGATTGAGCCAGGATCTTGGCTCTTTGACCCAATCTTCAGCCCGTGGGTGTTAGGTCAGCCTAATTGTTCAGAAACAGTAACGCTCCTTGACACTCACCAGCCCATGGTGTGAGAGATCTGTCCAACACCACCTGGAGATAAAGAGTAGAAACTGGAGATGTCGGTGGTCTGTAATGGGCGGTGAACACCTGGATGGAGAAGCAAGATGGATTAGAGAAAGAGGCAGGGGAGGGGCCGAGGAAGACTATCTGAATGGAGCATTCTCATGCCCACCAGATCCATATGTGGTCTAGATGGAAGCGCTGTGCCATAGGGAAGGAGACCCAAATTAGAAGTCAGGAGAACTGTGTTCTCATCTTGGGCTTCCCTTGCCAAGGTCCCTTCACCCCTTTGGGTCTCAGGGTCACGTGTAAGATGGGATAATGATTCCTGCCCTGCCTCCCTTAAAGGGCTGTTACAGGATCAACTGGGATAATGGATGTAAAAGCACGTCTGAGCCCAGCGTGCACCCCCAGTGAAGGCTGGCTATCAGTTAGGAACTTGCTGTTTTGGGCAGAGCCTGGGCCCTTCCCTTCTCTGCACCCCAGTTTCCCTGTCTGTAGAATGAGGGGTTGTATTAGATGGTATCTGAGATCCCTTCCAGCTCTGACATTCTATGATTCTAAAGCATTTTAAAAAAGAGTTTTAAGAAGTTGTACATGTTTGGAGTTATCTACGTGATCTGGAGTCTACCTGTTCAAAGTTTACTGGAAACAGAGAACATAACTCAGAACTGGAGCTCTCCCATCCCCCCAAATGCATCATTTTGTCAACTTAATCGCAAGTAGATGTGAGGATGATTGGGACCACGTGTCAGCGTCAGCCGCAGGCGGTGATCCCTATTCACACTACCCCTGGAGAAGTAGCCATTTGGTACCTGGATCCTAAGGCTTCGGGTGGAAACAGGGGGATGGGTTGGGGAGGGTGGGATCGAGTTTATTCTCAGAAGGAAGCAGTGTTTGGGGGAGGTGTGGGTGGCATCTTTGACACCAGAGACTTTGTAAGAGGTCCTAGAAGTGAAGGGATTCAGTCCCCCAAATCTCATCAGGGACAAAATGTTAATAGGAAAGACCTCTCCAGCCTGCCCCTGAGCTTCCTCCCCCTCCTCCTGCCCCTGCCTCAACAAACCCCAACCGCAAGGCCTGAGATGTCTCAAACTTCCTCTCGGAAGGCACATGGAATCCCCCCCCCCACACACACATTGGCTACTCTGAACACATGAACATCCTAAAAACAGATAAATTGGAAATAGCTGCTGTATCAACATCATGGGCAGTGACCAGGGACCTTAAAAGGATGACCAATTACACAGATAACAAGAATAGCCATGACAATAATTGATGTGGGAGGGTGTCAGAGATGAGAAAGGTGTCTGCTTTGGACCTGCCTGGCCAGTAGCCAGAGCTCCCAGAAATTGAAAGTCAGTGGGATTTGGGGGCTACCCAAGACTAAATCTGCCTGAGGCAGGGCATTTCTGTCTGCAGACAATACTTGTTCTAGGAATGACTCCTTCGCTTCGGTATGTCTGGGGATGATTCAGAGGGCGTATCACTTTCGATTTACTCTCTGGCCCTTCTTTTGTTAGGGTAGGGTGAGGTGTGTGTTGGGGGTGGTGATGGGGTGTAGGACAAGCAGTCCCAGATTCCTAGACATCTGAACTCTGGGCTGGGAGTCTTGGTCTAGGGGGACCCACATTCAGGCCTGTCTCAGATAAGCATCAATCCCACTAAGAAGAACTTGGCCATTCTCACTCTCAGAGAACAATCCCTGCACTTCCTGGAGAGGTAACCATGGACAAAGCAACAGAAAACCGCCAGTGGTTTTTACGGTTTGGCTTGAAATTGGGCAAAGTCAGGTTTGTCCTCTTGGGGAAAAGTTCCTGTTGAAGTATCTTAAAAAAATGCTCATTTGTTCTTTAAGCCATAGTCCAAATGTAAGAAGCAGAGTCCTACAGCTTGGGGGCAGCAAGGACTTTTATACCCATTTTACAGTGATAGAGACTGAGGTTTGGAAAGCTGAAATGATTAAGTGCTTCTAAAAGAGCTTTTCACAAGGAAACAGGTAAGGAACCTGTAGCCTCGAGGCTACGTGCTGCACTTAAGGTCCTCGAGTACGGCCCATTTGACTGAAAAATGGCCATACTTGAGGACCTAGAGGGCCACATGTGGCCTGGAAGGTGCAAGTTCTCCAGCCCTGGGTTAGAGGCTGAGCCTGCTACCATGGAGAGAGCCCCTCGACTCAGTCCGGAAACTTCCTAGCTATGGGGCTATGAGACAAGTCACTTTCACTCTCTACAACTTCAGTTTTCTTCCTTCTCTGATACCTTATCATGGTGTGGAGGTGACCCTCTGGACTCCTGAAGTCTGTGTCCCTGGAGCACAAACTTTGGTAGGTCCTACCAAGATGAAAAAGCTTTGGGTGAAGGCCAGGCAAGGTATTGTATGCCTGTCATCTGAAGCCCAAGCTAGTTAAGTTGGAAGATACCCATCACTGGATGGCTGGCCATTGAGTAATCTCTTGACCACTGCGAAGAGGATGGAGGGCGGGGTGGATGGATGACATATATGTTAATCAGCTAGTCGGTACAGTGGATAGGACACCGGGCCTGCAGTCAAGGACACTTCTGTTCCAATCTGGCCTCAGACACTTTACTAGCTGTGTGTAAAACCTACCCTGGGTAAGTCACTTAACCTCTGTCCCAGTTTCCTCAACTGTGAAATGGGGATAATGATAGCACCCTCCTTCCAAGGTTGTGAGGACCAAATGAGATCATTGTGAAGTGATTAGCACAGTGCCTGGCACGTAGTAAGTGCTATATAAATGTAAGCTGTTATTATTTGTTGTTATTATTATTAAACATGCAAGCAATATCCCTGTTTTTTTCCCACCGAGGTAAGGATTTAATGAGACAATGCACATGAAGGCACCTTGAAAAGTACTGTGGGCACACTGTGCACACACAGAGGGGCATTCATCATCATCTTTGTTTTGTTACTGTGGTTGTTAGCATTATAAACTTCTATTCCAGCTCCCCCAGCGTGAAATCCCTCCCATCTGTCCTCAGCAGTGCCTTCCAAATCCCCGTCCCATTCGTTGTTCTTCTCAGAGTACACGACTGTGGCGCAAGCCATATCTGGCCCCAATTCACCCTTGGCCCTGCTGGCCGCCCCGACCAGGCCTGAACACTGACTATTCCCTGGCTTTCAGTTCCCGTCAGGGTTTGTGCTAGTTCCCAATGCTGACAGAAATCTTTCTTTCTTGCCTTAATTTCTTTAGATGTCCAATGGACGTAGCACTCTTGCTTTCTCTCTTAGGGCAGTAACTGGGAGCACCTAAATGTCCTGGGGGGGGAGGGGAATGCCAAATAATCCTTAGTCTTCTTCTAGGAAAGCAACCCTGTCATTCTGTGTTTGGTCTGACACTCTCACCTCCTTTTGTGTCTGGTCCCCACACCCCCAATTTGCTTTGCTTGACTGTTCATATTTGTTGTAAGACTTGTCTTTTTGTTGTTGTTCTTCAGTGAGGGAAGGGTGGGAAGGAGAGTCAATAAATGCATGTTCATTAAAAAAAGTGAATGAAAAAAACACGGTCCTACCTTGCTTCTGGTTGATGTCAGCAGAGACGTGTGTCTGGTGGGAGCTGAAATGTTCATAGAGGGGTGTGATCTGGGGAACTCCATGGGAGGGCTGGCCAGGCTTGGCGTGCTGAAAGACACGAGAGAGACAGCCCCCAGCCACCCACCTGTAAACGTGAACGTGATCCGAGCCACCTGCAGCAGCCCAGAATTTCTGGAGCTTGGCAATGAACTTCCTGGTCTCAAAGGAGCCTCATCGCAGGCCGGGAAGCAAGGTGGCAGAGCAGGTATTTTTAGTCTCTTTTTACATATAGAAAAACTGAGGCCAAGAGAGAGAAGAGGAATGACCTCAAGTTCACCTAGCTAGCCAGCAGCCTATCAGAACTGAGATCCAAGCAGGGGTGTGCTGGAGCCAGCGCCAGACGTTTAAGAGAGTCCGTTGTTAAATTTTCCGTGTGATCGCTCATGCCTCAGAAACAAGCAATCCCTGTGCATCACCCTTGATATATTGTTTTGTTGACTGCTTTGGATCAAGAAAGTGTTAATAATGCCGATTAAGCTCTAGAAGTGCACACACTTGTAAAAGCCCCTACCCCTACACTGTTTTATAAACATTATTTGAGCTCAGCAGGTCTACAAGAGAGGGCTCAGGGAATGAAGTCCTTATCAAATTGGAGGCCTAGCCACTGTAGACTAAAAATGATGATGAGGATGACAACTGGTATGTATAGAGTGCTGTTTACATCCATTAGCTCATTTGGACCTCACAACATACTTGACCTATGATCCAGGGCTCCTCCTTCCCTTTACAGCCATCCTTTGGCTCACTGCTTAAACAGCCCTAATCACTGAATGGGTGTTGCCTCAGCCAAAGTGACAACTGGGAGAGACCTCAGCTTAAAAAGGCCAAGGGCTCCCACCGCATCCTGAGCCATCTTCAGTCGTCCTGATGTGTATCTGGCCACTGAACCCCAGATGGCTCTGGAGGAGAAAGTGAGGCTGGTGACTTTGCATGGCCCTGCCTCACTTAAATCCATTTCACTTGCGAGTCATGGCAGCATCTTCCTGATGTCGTGATCCTCTTGACCTTGAGAACAAGGGCAAACCACACACACACACATACACACCACACACAGAAGAGGCAGGGTATTCATAATTAATCCTATTCTACTAGAGGCACTGTGGTCCCCCCTCTGATACAAACTGGCCATATCAACCTGCACAAATCTTAATTTAGTCTTTCAGTGTTCTAGGCCAGTGGCTTCAGACTCACATAGAAAGAAGGTAAGCTGCATGTTTGACCCCTCTGCTCTAGGCCACTCTCTAACACTATATATGCTGCAGAAATGGTGCCAACCTATACTGATAGAGAGAGTTTTGAATTCTGAGTCCCCAAGGCTGACTCATAGAGCTTTCTCCGAGCTGATCCTAGTTTCTTCCCTGCCAAAGAAGAGGAGTTAATATTTCTGAAAGGCTTCCAACTGTGCCTCTTCTCTTGTCCTTGGTCTTACTGAGTAACACTGCAGGAGGGTGAGAGAGTGGGGGGAGGGCTTAAAAGAGTCATGTAATCTGTCTCTGTCATCCCCCCAACTCTGCCTAGGACTGGGCTGGGCATAAACTCTTTCCCCATATCTGGCTCTGAAGACGGAAAGCTTCCTTTCTGTCAAGACCCAACTAAGATGCCACCTCTTCTATGAACCCTGTTCTGGGTCTCCCCTGAACCCAGGTGAAAGTGACTTCTCCTACCTCAGACTTTCACTAGTACTTTGTCCCGGACTCACCTTCATATTTCTCTTGCTTTCCCTTGTAATATACTTCACCTCTCAGAGCTTTGTTTCTTCATCAGTAAAATGGAGCTATAATACTAGTGTTATCCACTTCACAGGATTGTTAGGGGAAATCACTTTGTAAACCTTTAGGTGCTATGGAAATATGAGTTATCATCATTAATTATTTTCATAAGTTTGGATCGGTGATTCCTTTGTAAAGAGAATTCCTTTGTAACTGTCAGTGTTACAATTCTCTCCGCTGAAGAAGCTCACAAACTCATCTCTAACACGTGACATTAGAGTTGCCTGGAATACTTGGAGGTTACATGACTTACCCACCATCACAGCTGGTACATAGGGGAAGGAGGACTTGAAATTGGCTCTTCCTGAAACCAAGGCTGGCTCTATATCCACTGTCATGATGACAATCATTGGGGTACTTGTTCTCCCCCAGCCCCTTCCCTTGGAGGGTAAACTCCTACAGAGCAGGTATTGTGACATAGCACACAAAGATACTTGTATCCTCAGAGCCCAGTGTAAGGGCCCTGCCCTTAGGAGGTGTGTAAAAATGTTTGCTGAATTGAAAATTGGATTGGTTTGAACTGAACATCATCAAAATACTCAAAAGGACTACGTGACTCCCCTACCCCCACACCCCCTTAGGGAAGGGGGAAGGGAGAAAGAGGAAGGATGTAGAGTGGAGGGGGGTGATGGAGTAGTTGGAGCCCTGAGGGGCTCCTCTGGGAGGGTTTCCTAGATGAGGTTAGTTTTGGAAGTGGAGGAAGGGAAAGGGGCAGGGTTTGGCAGAGAGCAGGACTGTTGGGTTTGTTTTGGATGAAACTAGGGCCACAACCAATGAGCCCTTTGGTGGGGGCCTGCTGTGGGAAGTTGACTAAAGGGGCCCAGCGTGGATGAGAAGCCACAAATAAAAGGGTATGGAGGGGGTAGAGGGGATGCAGGCGACCCATAAATAGCCTGGCAATTAGAAGTAGGTGGGGCAGCTGGGCCTTAAAGGGAAAGCAGTTGTTAGTTAGCAAAGCCACAGGCTTACCCCAAGCTCTCCAGGGAGGAGCTAGCCCAGCCAGAATCTCCAGAAGTGTGTGTGTGTGGTGTGTGTGTGTGTGTTGGGGAGGCGGTCTAAGGACAGCCCAGTCTGCAGCAAAAGAGGACAGAGCCCCTGAGTCCTCCTGAATTCAGGTCAAAAGGACTCCTTTGGGCATTCAAAGGCCCTTCCTCATCTGGTCCAACTCTACCTCACCAGCCTTCATTCTTACGGCTCCACCAACAAGCATACCTGTGCTGCAACCAAAATCACTGCTTTCTGCTGTGTCTTTGCTCACACTGTTCTCCCTTCTCGTATATCCAAAGTCTACCCATCATTCTTCAACACCTGCCTCCAGGCCTCCACCTCAAGGAAGACTTCACAGGCTGCCCCAGTCTTCACCAATGACTCCTTCCTGGCACTGATCATTCACACTCCTTGGCTGGTGTTTAGCATAAAATAAATTTCTCACAAAATCTGGACTCCTGCGCCTGGCATTCAAGACCCTCTACAATATGCTTGCAGCCCATCTTTCCAGACAGATCTCATGCACTCTCCTCTACACTGTCTATGTGGCAACCAAGCTGGGACTCATCTTTGTCCCCTGAACACATACAGTGTGGTACAATGGGAAAAATGCTGACCCCACATAGAGTCACAGGACCTGAGCACAACTCCGGCCCTGCCAACCACTTGTGACCTGCAACCTTGAGTGCATCACTCCTGCTTGGGCCTCAAATGCGGGGGCTGGGCTTGACAGCTTCCAAGGTCAGGGTCAGCCCTCTCAGCCCTAGTCTAGGATCTCACTCTCTTTGATAAGACTGTTCCCTATACTTAGAACCCCGTCTGGTCCCCCACTTCATCCATACTTTGCTATTCTGAATTCCTGCCCATCCTCTCAGAGGCAGCTAGACAGCTCAGTGGATACAACACTGCACCTGGAGGCAGGAAGCTGTTGTCTGGTTATGTCTGACTCCTTGTGACCCCATTTGGGGTTTTCTTGGCAAAGATGCTGGAAAAGTTTGCCATTTCCTTTCCAGTTCATTTCACAGATGAGGAAACTGAGGCAAACCAGGTTAAGTGACTTGCCCAGGGTCATACAGCTAGTAAGTGTCTGAGGTTGGATTTGAACTCAGGAAAATGAGTCTTCCTGACTCTAGGCCCAGTGCTGTATCCACTGTGCCACCTAGCTGTAGGAAGTTAGAAGACCTGAGTTTAAATCCATTCACCTTAATCCACTGGAGAAGAAAATAGCAAAATACTCCAGTATCTTTGCCAAGAAAACCCCAAAGACAGCATTATGCTGTGGTCCACAAGGTCACAAAGAGTCAGACGTGATTGAACAACTCGAGAACAACAACAACCATCCTTTAAAGCCCAGCTGACAGACCACGTCCTCCAAAAGAAACGTCCCCGATTTGTTTCCTTCCCCTCTCCTTAACTGAATCAATGACCTCCCTCCTCAGATAGCCCACATCACTTGATTTCGTTCATCTCTAATGCACTTAGCACGTATTGCCGTCCCATTCCCTGCCAGACTGTAAGCTCCGTGGGGGTGGAGACTATCTTTTAGGGAAGCACTGTATGTATGGCACCTAGCAAAGTGCTTTACAAGTGGGAATCTCACAAAGTTGGTGGTGATTGTATTGTCTAAATCGTAATGAAAGAGTTCTGGTGCAGCAGAGAGATGACTAGCTTTGAAGTTGGAATCCCAGCTCTGTGACCTTGGGCAGGTCATGGGAGGAGCCTTCGCTCTCTCAGTAAAGAAGGGGTTGGACTAGATGATCTATAAGCTTTACCACTTGTGTCACCTTAGGCAAGTCTTTACATTCTCTGAACCTTGGAATAAGGTGGCCTCAAAGATATTTTCCAGCTATAAAGTCCATGATCCTATGAGTCTGACCCTGGCTCCCCAGCTGGACTGTGAGTTTCCTGAAGGGAGGGATTCTGTCATGTCCACACAGGACAAAGCACAGGGCTAGGCACATGGTGTGGGGAGGAGAGGAAAGGGATGATCAATAAAAACTTACTGATTGAATAGAGACTGGAGTCCCTTCCAGTGCTGGGTGCCTCAGGCAGGGCCGGGAGATAACTTCCCCCAAAGCCCCTCTGGTTCTGAGACTCTTCTGAGGGAGGCTATTGAATGTTTGCTGGGCCCTTACCCCCCTGCTTTCCAAACTACCCAAGCTTCCTGTCTCACTCATGTAGGAGGCCATAGCACTCTTACTTTTCGTAGAAATGGCCTATGGTGGCATTCAGAGATGACTCATGCCTCACTGAGATATGAAGATGGGGAGAGGCAGAACAAAGGGGGCTGTT